GATCTAGGTTGCTAAATGGTCCAAAGTGGAGTGAAACTTGTGATCCTGAGTTCAGCTTATGTTCTTGCTCTTTACATTGATTTTTTTCCTAGAGTGGTGCTATTTTGTTTATGCAAACTGAAATGTGAAACATTTCGTCTAGTTTAACGTTTGTTAATAAATTACCACAGGCAGGCTTCTTTGTTCTTTCATTGTATGCTGTAGCTTGAAACTACTGTAATTTAGATTCTTTTCAAGATTTTACGTAAGTTGATAATCATGCTGCTGTTGAAGATTCCAGTGCTGGCAGAACCCTGCGTATCTGCAAGACTGATGAAAGGAGTTACTGTTTCTTGTCTCTTTACAGCCAACTATACACGAATGTCCTTGCTGCACATGAATTAATATAATTTTCTTTCTTGCCGGAAGTAGAAATCTAAGAAGTTCACAATATCCTAGACCCTGTTTTCCCCTGGCTCCTTTTAGTGGTCTTTTGTATCAGAAGACGTTATATTTTATAACCAGAATTCTTCCACCTTCATTACTGGGTTTTTATATATATTTTGTTTTAACAGATACTAAAGGATCAAGGAGAGATTTCAGAAGCTATGATAAACCTTGGCAATTAAATGCAAAGAAGCCAAAAAAGTCCAAAAGTGACCTTGCCGTGTCTAGTATTTCACCCCCCTCACTGGACTCCAAATCATGTGAGTAAATTTATTAGTCAAATGTGATTCAGTTTTTCAGTCTCTACTGTTCAGAAAATGAAAAACCATGATAGTTGAAGTCGAACTTTTTATCTGATCTTTCTGGCTACCCACCCTAATGAATTCCATTTCTATCTCAGCATTGACGTCTTACTTAGCCACTCAAACATGTGTACCTGATTTGGCCAGCGCTAGTGTTTTGTTCTTTGAAGACGATGAGGTCCTCCCCTCTTGTGCCCAGCTGCAGCGTGAGGCTGCATTCAAAACAGAACCAAATTCACTTTTACTGAAATGCATAAAAGCAAATTAAGTCTCTTAGAGCAGAAGTAGAGGGAATCTCTGTTCCAAATATTTAATGAAAAGAGATGGGGAGTGGGTAGGGAGGAATGGAAAAATAAACACTATTAAGACAGGTAATGTATGCATACCAAGTCCCGTGATGAACATAAGAATTATATACTACACACATGCACAAATAAAAACAAAGAATAAATTAAAAAAAAATTAACATCCATTACCTAGGGTCTTCCTGAAGTCCTCTTCTTTGTTGCCTGTGGCTGAAGTTCCTATATTTATTTCCCCCTTCAACTCTTAGTACCCTTCTTTCTCTGGGCTCCTCTTTCTTTCCCACTGCCTGAATAACCACTAGTTTTCTTCAGTGCTCTGCTGCTGCCTAGAGGAAGCTTATTAAGTAATCATAAGCCTGTAACAAATTTCATTTATTCTTGGAAGACAACAGCTTCAAAATTGATCTTCCTATAAATTCGTTCCTTATGCTTATTACATAGTGAGATGCATGTTTTTTATTTCAACAGAGAAGTGAGTAGGTTGAACATGTTTATTTTTGTTTGAAAGTGTTTGAAAAATGGTGTGTTAACTAGAATCTCTGCCTGGGTCATCTGTGGATGACACTGAAATTAATGCTGGAGGTCTTCATTTGCATATGTACTAGTACTGATAAGTAGTATTGTTTCAACCACACCAAGTTACTGACTGTCAAGACTAGATGAAATATTATGAATTTGGCAAATTAAGATGGTAATATAATTGTTCTTCACAAGGTTAGTATATAAAATTAGATCTCAACAATTTTTAAAACATACAAAGGTGGAGAAGGAGAGGGGAGAGGAAGTTAAAAGAAGTGAGATGTGTTATACATGTTTGAATTGCTCATGATGGATGTAATCCTTAAGTGCTACAAACCTGTACTAGTAAAAATAAAATAAGCAAATTTAAAATTTGCTTGTCTTATAAACACCAGTGTACCTACTAGTACCCAACACAGTGCTGATGCTAATGACAAAGTGCTACAAAAAAATTTTAAAAAGACTAAAAAGAGTAATAAAAATTGAAATGACTCAAACCTCAGTTTTCCTTTCCATCACAGATCTCTCCATCTCTCTTTTCTCCATCTTTTTTTCTGTCTGCTAATGATAAGTTCATGACCCTAGCAGATTACTAATTTATATAGCAAATTTTGGATCCCATAATTTATCACTAAAGAGAGAATAGCAAAGGCCAGCTAGTTCTAAAGGCTCTTTGCCTTTTCTAGCTATGTGGCTACTTATCTACATGATTTACAGTACCAAAGGGAGATACAGAAAGATCAAGTAAACCAGAAAAATGAACAATGATACACAAGATTATTGCACTATTGACCACCTCGAGTTGAAATTTATAGTCTATTGTGACCGATAAAGTAAAAACACATACATAATTCTCAATTGCAGATGCAATATGTGGAAAGATAGACAATATGGTGTACCATTAAACAATGACTACCGTAGCAACCTAGTCATTTTAAAACACGGGTGCAAGGAAAGTGGTAACTTATCCCTAACAAGACAGCTTTGGTGAGAAAAAATACTTCAGATGAACTGAGAAATTGTTGCTGACTGGCTGGCCAACTTGGCCAGTTCTCTCGCTGGTCTCCACCCATGAGAGAGCATTGGGCTCAGTCGGGTGTCAGGCTGCTGGGGCCTGTCTGGTGCTTATCTGAGATTATTGATTGGGATTTTTTTTTATAAAGTTGTGTCCTGGCCAAGACTATAGCTCAGTGTCACAGTGGCTGCCTGGAAAGCATGAGGTCATAAGTTTGATTCCCAGTATTAAAACAAACAAACAAACAACAACAAAAAATCTGTGTTCTTGTTAATGAATTAAAAAGGAGAGAGGGAAAGATCTTGAAAGTCATAGTACTTTCTAGGAAATTAGAAAATGTGAGACAGCTCAGCGGACTAAGCACCTGCTTAGGCAAGCACAAAGACTGGGGTTCGATCCCTGGCACCAATGCCATGCCAGCCCTGCCCCCAGGCATGCTGAGTTGGCCACCAAGAGCAGGTGTAGCCTAGCATGCCTGTAATCTCAGTGTTGGAGATACTGAGACAGGAGGATCAATAAGAGTCCAAATTGTGTAGTAAGACCCTATAACAAATACAAATATTTGGGAAAAAAGAAAATGCAGAGATACAGATTGCAGATAAAAAAATTATTCAAGTAAGATTCAAAATACAAATGATGTTTTGAACAATCAGGTACAGATTTTATTTTATTTATTTATTTGTGTGTGTGTGTGTGTGTGTGTGTGTGTGTGTGTGTAGTACCGAGGATTGAACTCAGGACCCTGTGCTTGCCAGACAAGCACTTGCTCTATTGAGATATTTTCCTAGCCTGATATTGTTTCATTTGCAGTTTCTTGGGAGCCCCCTTGGGAACAGCCCACGATAGAAAAACATCAGGAAGTATTTTCCAGATTGAGCAGAACCCTGAACTCCTCGCAACTCTAACGTCAGTCTGGCAATGGTGACCTCTGTGCCAGAGTCCCTTAAACAGAGAGGCTCAAGATGAGCCAGCTGCAGCTTATATGTTTTGAAAAGTTTTAACTTTTAGGTCTGTTTAAATTACACAAGAATTACTTTCTTATTTTGACAACATAGAAAATATACATATGTAGAAAAATAGTTTTCCCCATTCCTACTCATCAAATTCAGTTCTCCTAGAGAGAGAGATCTACCTTTGTATCATTTTCCTTGTGTGCACGGTGATATGTAATACGTGTGAGTGATTTTCTATAAAAATGGCTTAAAACTGTAAACCTCACTAAGCTACTTATTTGATTATTCTAAATTGCATTTGGAAATAGCTCCATGGTGATAAACTTAGATTTTACTTTTCAGACTACTCATTGCTTATTGTAGTATATTGTGAAGGCCATCATTTAGCTACTCATTTGTTGAAGGATGTTAAGATTATTTCTAGGGCTTTGCCACCATTCACAGTTTGATGAAATAAAAAACATCTTGCACTTTCTGTGAAAATGAATGATTTTGTACATTTACCGTTCACGGGTCTGGATGTTTTTGTGTGTGATTGCTCACCAGGCAGAACATCACTGGGTCCCACAGGAAGGACAGTACTTTTGAAAGGGTGGTGGAATGATATTTTTGAGTAGTTTGAGACTATTTTCTGTGTCCTTACCAGATGAATAATTTTTTAAAAATATTTTATTTTTGTCAATATAAAAGTACATGATTTAAAAAATAAAGTCATGCAATGAAATAGCAGTGTCCTCTTTTCTCCCTAAACTGCAATCACTTTCGCCTGTTTTCGATGTTTCTCTGGCTAAGTCTACACCTCGCATTGCCCAAAGTACCGATGCAGCTCTTTTCCTTTTTAAGGCATCGTCTCTTGTGCTTCCTTGCTTCACACCCTCGCTCCATTTCATCCTGGTGTAGACTAGCACAGTCATCGCATGTTGGTTGAATGTAGATCTTGCAGTAATATAATTGTGACTGTCTTAGTTAACATTTTTACTAAGATCTATACAGACTTGTCAAGTCCAATCACTGAATTTTCTAGAATTAACCATTTTCTCTTTTACTTTGCTTTCTATGTGCTCATTGCTAACCCTCCACTAAACTCTGCCCAAAGAATTAAACCTTAGTAACAAGATCAAACACATCAAGTACCTGTAATTCTATGTTCCTATGTTATTTTATACTTTTAAAAATTCATTGAGAGGGGTGTAGAAACATCTCTGCTGCAACTCTGTCTTCTAGCTCTACTCTTTGCTTCTAGGTCTCTTGGTTCCTAGGCATTTTCTTTGCTGTCTTGAGATACCATCCTTCTCTCTCTTCCTCAGGATTCCGCTTTCCTTTTCCTTTTGGGAGATGACTTCAAAAAAAAAAAATTAGATCATTTTTTTCGGCTTACTTTTCAGTTTGTTAGAGCATGTCCACTCTCTGCTTTCCAGGAAAGATTACTTATGAAAGAAATATTGGTTCCTTTATGTATCCTGATTGATTCAGTAGCTGATATAAAATTATGAGTTAGAAGTAATTTTCTCAGACTTTGAAGGGGTGGTTGTATATTTCAGGGCAAGTACTGCTGCTGAGAAGTATAATATCAGTTTGATTGGCTATTTTTGCATTTGAAAGTGTTTATAATCTTTTCATTATTGTCAATATTTAAACATTTTTATAATATGGATTGAATAGTGCTTGGAGTTTAATGGACTCCTAGGTCTGGCAAACAATTCAGCTCTTATACCTGTCTAACTATGGCATTTTCTCGGGAATGATTCTCTAATATTTTAAGTACATGAAGTGCTTATTCTCTTGCCATTGTCTCTTCATGGACTTTGGTTTATTTTTCTGTCTCACTACATACTTACCCATTTGCATCTTCCAAAATTCATTTCTTGTTGAATAATCTCCTTTCTCCTTTTTTCAACTAATTATTTGAGAGAAAACAATTTCCTTGAATGTAACATAATTTTAGTGGGAACTTGGGAGAGAATAAGGAAAGGGGAACACATACATTTTATCCTTTTTGTTGTATTAAAATATAAAAGGATATCTTCAAACATTTGTTAGCTGCTAAAAATAAGTCAATAGATACTTTCAAGATTATAACATAATATAAATATACTTTGCCTGCATTTTTCCACTAAATGACAGAAATTAGTAGCTTTATAATTCAATATCTGAGTATCATTTGCTTCATAAATGCTGCCACATGTTCCTTTACTTGTTCAGTTAAAATTTTTAACTGACCTCACATCTTTCCTTCTGTTTGCTCTCGAGAACCATTTGGTCTTGGTGCAGTCTTTCACATAATGATGAAAAGTGAGTTTGAATCATATATAGTGTGCTCATGAAATAACCATTTTTTTTAAACATAGTGCCAAGGTCAGTAGAGCATCCTAGATGGAACTGGCGGACTAACACAGAAAGCCGTGATTTTGATGAATTGAACCACATCCTTCAAGAGAGCAAGAAGCTGGGGAAAGCCCTTGAGAATCTCTCTCGGAGTAAGTTCCTTTACTTGGTTATAATTGAAGTTCTTAACAAATATTAAAGCAGAAACTTTCATCCTCATTTCCATAATCCATTTCAAACATCCTTATTATAATTCTGAGAAAGACTGAAAAGTTCTAAAGGTGTGAGATTGATTTTGTATATTTTGTAGATCCACGTAGTGGATTATGTCGTGTACAAAAAGTATCAGAAAGCCTCCTAGCTGTTTGAGGTCAGCATCACTGCATAGTTTCTGTTATCCATTCAAATGAACATACCGTGGCATCTTCTTCATTCTTCTCTTTTGAAATACATTGCATTTTCTGACAAATAAATATAGTTATTGCTTCTTTGAGTTTTTGATGTCCCTAATCTTAAAGATGGTAACTGGGCAAGATTCCTCTTAGAATCCTTTCAGAGACTACCATACTTACTTTTTAAGAAAGGCTTTTATGAAAGAAAGAACTCTATAGTCTAACAGCTTAGTTTAGACATTTTGCTCTTCCATCTAAGAGGTGAATGACTGCAGGTAAATAATTTAGCTTCAGTGAAACTTGTTTTCCTACATTGATAAGGAAGGAAGGCATGTTTGTGTCTCTTCAGGTAGATATAAAGGTTTAAAGTGATGCATTTCAAGTCAGATCTTTAAATGTTACCATCATGAGAGCAGACTATTGAATAGTTTTTGTGATTCAATGAATACATTCTGCATAGACACACACAAATATATACTCTCTCTGTATACACATGCATATATGCTTCATGACTTTAGAACTGAATTCAAAATATTTCTGTCTTTCTCTGGTTCTTTATGTATTTCTGTATTGTAAAATTAGACACCTTTGGGAGCACATTGATGTCATGAACTTAGCAAACTTTTATTCTAGTACTGTGGAATATTAAAGATGTAATGAGAAGAAAAACACTCAGAAAATCATAGTGGATTATGTTTTAGGATCTCTCTGTCATTTCATTTTTGGTAGCATGATTGCTAATTTTGTGATTTGTGTCAAAGTTAAACATTTTTTTTTTTGCTGTAATTTGGGAGTTTTACAATATACATGTATGTGTGTATTTTATGGTAATTATGTTATTTCTATACCTAAGCATTATATTACATTTATAAATATATAATATATACCTCTATTTATAACTCACTAAACCCCTTTAGTGGACATTTGTGTGATAAAACTTGTTCAGTAGTTAAGCTACCTTATAGTGTGATCTTATACCATTACCACTAGTAGAAACTCTGCTTTTAGCTAGATTTGCTTTTAGAGTAAATAATAATGAAGGGAGTTTTTGTCTCATTACTGTGTTATGTTCAGGAAAAGAACCAGCCCTGGTCATTTTCTTATTTCTGGGACAAAATACCAGACACCCACAATTTAAAGGAGGAGAGGTTTGTCTGAGTTGACCATTTTGGCAGAAAGATGAATGCCTTCAGGGCAGGTTTGGCTGGTTTGAGTTCTGGGGATCGAACCACAGCAAGCTGAGCCTGACTTCTTTGCTGAAGCAGCCACTTAAAGAACTGAGCTAAGGGGCAGGCCCCCTGAGTTGACCATTTTACTCCATGGTTTACTGACTGCAATGTCAAAACCGGATGGCAAAGCGCTGTGGCAGAGGAAAAGCTGCTCAGTGCAGGGCGCCAGGAAGCTGAACGGGGCGGGCAGGGCCCAGGACAGAACCTCATCTTCCAGCTCACACATCCCCAGGGACCCAACTCTCACCAGGACCCTCCTAACCATGCACTGAGCTACTGAAGTCACAGGGGATGAATGCACAGACGAGTACAGTGCTGTCATGAGCAGACCAACCTCCACACACCTGGGGTGTTTGTGGGACTTTAAATCTAAACATGACAGAGCTTGATCCCATTAATATGGCCAAGGCACATATTAATATTTCTAAATTTCACCCTATGTGGTAGCTCCTGTGGCTCTCCATAGCCTGTCAATTTATTTAATAAATGGACTAACAGAAGGCTGATTGAAGAATGTGACTGATTATTACACGGATCTTCAAATATATTGCCAGTTAACTTTTGTCTTCTAAAGTATGACAGCTCCTTGCAGATGCTTGTTATGTTATTGTGAATTTAAAAAGCATTAGTTTGCCCCAAATATTTGAATAAGGGGATTAGAATATATTTTGATTATGTTCTTACCCAGATTTATAGCTAAAATGTCAGAGTTCAAACTGTGGTCTTTACCAGAAAATATATGTATAGCTTTCTAGAGTATGTTGGTTGACTCAGGCTATTATAGCAGAAGAATATGGAATGGATAATTCATAAAACATTAAAAATAACTCTTGTAATTCTAGAGAAGCCCAGGATGGCACTAGCAAATTTGATGTGTTTTGCCCATTTCTGTTCTCACAGGGTGGAAGGGGCCACACCAATCCACAGCCACTTTTATATGGCACTAGTCCCATTCGCAGAGAGGAGCCCACAGTATCTGATCACCCCCCAGGTTCAGCCTCCTCACAGTGTTAGCTTGGAGACTAGGCTTTAACCTGTGAACCTTGAGTGAGTGAGTGAGTGTGTGTGTGTGTGTGTGTGTGTGTGTGTGTGTGATGGGAGACACAAACATTTAGACCATAGCACACATGGAGCCTTACAACTGAGCCATGTGATAAGAAGCCTGTGAGGGACTTTATAATGCTTCAAGGCAATCTGGAAAAACAACAGAGGCCGAAGGTAATCCCTGGTCAGCAAAGAGAAAATCTGCGGATAGAGTCTTCATTCTCTGCCAGGAAGGGACAGTGAAGCTACAAGGAGAGTCTGCAGCTGTACCCAAGTGATATTTAGTAGTCAGCTCCTCTGCTTATGATGGATGCTGCTTCTGGCTTTGCATGACAGATTTAAGGCATGCTGTTTTGTGAGAGTGTGGTGGTATGGCTTTTCTGGGGAGAAGAGGATTAGTTTTATGGAAAGAACTGTTCTATTCTCCCTTGAGCTTTCTTTCTTGAACAAAACGGTATGAATTTTAATATTGAATCTTAGCTGTCTTCCAATGTATTCCCCACCAGATTATCAATAGGCTTTCCTGGGCTAGCCAGATAGCTTAGCAGACTAAAGCACCTGCTTAGGCAGAGTGAGGTGGCCAGGGTTCGATCCCTTGTGTGCTGTGCCAGCCCCGCTCCTGGGGCATACTGAGAGGGTGATTGAGACTGGGCCTGGTGGTACACACCTGTAATCCCAGTGCTTGGGAGGCTGAAAACAGAAGAATCATTAGGAGTCCAATCTATGTAGTGAGACCCTGGAGACCCTGTACTAAAATACATTAAAAAAAAAAAGCTTGCTGTGGTTGGACCTAGCTCCCCAAATGAAGCTACATAATCAAGAACCTGTAGTTGAATAGAATTCATTCTTGCTTTTGCTTGTTTGACTCTTCCATGATTTTATTGGGAAGCTCTTCCTCCAATTTGATAACAACTCTATTGCATGTATCAGTGAGCTTTCATTGCTGTGAGGCAAGACCTGAGGAACTAGTTTCAAGGAGGAAAGTGCTATTTCTTCTCATGATTTTCAGTCTGTGGTCAGTCGGCTCCATCACCTTCAGGCCCAAGCTGAGGCCAGGACGTCACAGTAGGGGAGCATGTGTGAAGCAAAGCTGCTCAGCCCACGGCAGCCCAGAGCCAGAGAGAAAGAGCCTACTTTTGTCATAAAGGGTCTTCCCACAAAGTCAGTAAGCTATGAATTCATACATAGTTAAGCCATCTGTGAGGGAAGAATTCCCACAGGTCCATCACCTTCTGATGGCCCCACCTCTGAACATTGTTGCACTGAGGGTGAAGCTTTCAACATGTGAACTTTTAGGCACAAAACCAAAATAATGCTCATATTTTGATTAGTAGGAAGACATAGGAGATGGAATTTTCCTTTGTGTGTGGTCAAAGGAAATACTGATCTTGGCACTCCGGAAGCTGAGGCAAGAGGATCACCGTGAGTCTAAGGCCAGCCTAGGCTACATAGTGAGTTCAAAGCCAGGTGACATACATCACAAAGTTATGTCAAAAAGAAAGAAGGAAGGAAAAAAAGAAAGAAAGAAAAGACAAGCAAGCAAGCAGGCAGGCAAAAACCCTCAAAATATAATATAAAATATTATATGTCTTCATCCTGTGAACATTTGATGCGCCTTGGAGTCGGTCTAGGTTTTCAGCTATTTCTTCACAATTTGAACACTTGACGGTTATCCCTTTTAATTTATTTGAAGTGCTATTTTTTTAAATAAAGGTTCATCTGTCCATGCAAAAAAAAAAAAAATCTCTTCATTATTATGGACATTGAAGGGAAGGGTTGAAAGTTTTCAATTTAATACTATCTCTAATGAGGATCATCTCTTTGTTTGATTACAGTTACATAT